GAGGGAGAGGGAGAGGGAGAGGGAGAGGGAGAGGGAGAGGGAGAGAGATCCCCCAAGGAGAATCATTTTGGAATCTGGAAACACATCTTAACTATTGTAGGATGTAGGATAGTGAAAAGGTAACACAGAGCTTTAAATTCTCCACAGGTGACAGATGTCAGCTCACAAGCTTTAGCCATCACGGGAAGGTAGAGAAGATGAAGTGGCTGGCGAAGGTGAGGAATGAAGGGTGGTGAGTGGAGAGCAAGGTTCCTCTGGGGCTGACCTGGGACCCTGCGACTTCTAACAGCAGACCGCAACATAGCAAGTGTCATGCATCAGGTAGGTAGGGAGCCTCCTCCACTAATCTTGTCTAGAGAAGAATCAAAGCCCCACCAATTTTTGATGTTAGAACCTTGTTGAGCAAAGGACTTTGCAAACGCCTTTGGAGAGGGGGCACTTTGCTGAAACAAAGATCCTTGGTAGAGGCAGGGCAAACTTCAGGATCTCGTTTGTTGCAAACACCCTACTTGGAACTTCAAGTTTCACTTGAAAGGAAAATTATTTCTCATCTCGACCTTCTTAATCAGTGGGGACAGTGCAGCTCCCAAAGAGAGAGCTGTGTGCATCACCATTCACAGCTAGAGAGGACCTTCTCCCAGCTGAGAGAAGAATTAGCCCCAGAAATCCATCTCCACCCCTGCTCTAGTAACCTTAGTTTCCTTTGGGTCATTCTGTGTTAGAAGCAATCCCCAAATCAGTCTCTCTTGATTTACTGTGCCCTAGGGCAGAAGGAGTCTCCAGAAACCTTGAGAATGGAGCTACACCAGAGTTGATTTATATGGGGGTCATTGCTATTTCTGGGAATCTCCATGTGTTTGTATCTATGCATCCAATAAGAGACCTGCATTTTTACTTTACAGTGTGTGAAAACAATATAGCTTAAACCCTCTGCAGCGAAGTCCATTTATGTGGCAATATTGTGTTTACTGTGGGAACACCTGCCCTGCTGCCCTACTGTTCCACCACGGTTCAGGTGCATCTCTCCAGAACCACAGCAGACCTCTATGCCTGGCATCAGGTGTAGGCAAGAATAAGTACCTCCTCCCTCCCTCCCTAAGCCAGCAGCTGCTGGGCTGCAAGTTGAGATCCCAGGAATTGTCAACCGCCATGATAGCTAGTTTTGTTGTTGTTGTTTGTTTCCAAAGATTGTAGGAAGAGGAAGAAAGAGCAGCCAGGGGGTAAAAGACTTCCCTGGGAATTCCTTCCATCTACCAAGGGTCTTTTTCTAAACAGTCTCTTAAGTAGGACTCCTTTTCAACATAATCTTCCCTTCTTCCTTTCCTAGATTCTTCAGAAAGATAACCTTCTTAGACTGTATTTCTTTAAAACATCATCCATCTGCCACCCAATAAACTATCTGGTTAGTCTTCAATTTTAGTTAAAAAGTAGAAATGTGGTTAGTCCTGGACCTAAGAACGGGAAAGAAAGGGGCTGCATGGAATCCTTATGGCTTTCTAAAAAAAAAAAAAAATTAACTGCCTTCACAGTCTCAACTACTCTGTTCCTCAGAATAACTTGTGGCTCTGACAATCCCAAGTCCAATACAGTAGCATTTTGATCCAAGGAAGCTGCAGGCACTTTACATCCAGCTTGGGGGTGCTCTCTCCAGAGTACCAGGGTTAGAGGACTGGAAGAACTGAGCCATCCGACATGGTCAACATGCTTTGGGGCAATTTAATATCAGGTATGAAAAATATGTAAATAACAAAGTAGTAATTAAAGAAAACCAGAATCACTAGAAACTCGTTTTCACATATTTTATAGCTAAGAAAGACTGTTATTTGGGGATGAATATTGGAGAAGGCACTAGAACCTTTGGTTGCTTAAGATCTAAAAGTCTCTGAGGGCCAGCTCTTGGGCACCAGCCTCATTTTATCACACACCTTTTCCACTGGCAAAGAGCCTCCCAGCAGCTGCTGCCCTGCATCGGAAGCAGAGGTGTGGAAAGAACAACCCCTGGGAGATCTTGCCTCCCTGAAGGCTGGGCACAGGGGAATCACCACAGTGGACAAAATGGATGCAGAGCAAGAAAGATGTTCAAAGGCAGATTTGCCTCAGAAGTGTCAGAAGAAAATGTGGAGGACTGGGTAGAAGGAGAATGAAGAATGGCCTAAGGGAGGCATGTCTGACACCCCACCCCCACCCCCCCACCCCCGTCAAAATGATCTGAAAGAACAGATGGACAATGAGCATCCTCTTGCTGGAGGACAGCATTTTTGGGGTGTTCATATGCTGCACTACATGGTGTTATGTCCATCCCCTGAAGTTGAAGATCTACATAAAATGAAGAATGTGCTTGCTGTTTGCCAGCAACTTCCTTGCACTGTTGAGAAGACATTGGGAGAAGCAAAGCTAAGGGAAACCCATTGCTACTCCCGTGGCCCAACCGCTCCTTTCATGTAACAGGACAGCCGGCCATTATTTTCTTCTTCAGCATACGCATGTGATCATGCAGTAAAAAGAAAGGAAAGTGATGTCCGTTTTATGGATGTTCTTCTGAATAGATGTGCTTAGTACTAAACCAGTGTTCAAATATTTATAACAGATAAGAATTCTAGATTAAGGCTTTATTTTCAAAAACATAAGTTCAATTTGACAGAACAGAGACAAAGTTATTGTCAAACATAAAAATAGGAGTTGAATCGCTTCTTTTTAGATGGATCTTTCACATTGACCTGGCCATATGGACACTGAAAAAAAAGGACAACAAATTATTATTGAATTATTTAACACTCTTGTGGGAGCATACATTTCTCATGGTGGGAAGAAAAGGGGGCTGTTAGCCATGTTTTAGGTCATTTGATGTGCCATGTCTTAGGTACTAAACAACACAATGGGAACTTCGGTAAAGAGCCCTAAATTCGGGTCCAAGAACCATTTCCTAAGTATATCCTTCCAACCTCAAGAATTTTACTGTCAACCCCCCATTCTTACAAAACCCATGGGTCCTACATTTACACAGAGCTCTTATGCATTTGATTAGGAACAGCTCATGACATAGATCAGAGTATCTGTAAAAGTGAAGACTGACTTTCAAAACACTGTCTACAGTTCATATGTGTATTTGGTGTTTAGCCTTTAATTAGAAAGTGGGCTAGTGAAAGGAAATGACATCTTCTTGCAGGAAAAACATACAAAGTATTCTGTAAATAGTTGTTATCTGTTTATAATCCTAACCAAATAACAATATACCTCGGTGGTATGCCTCCCAATAGAAAAGAAATACTCTGATTTCTTCTTTGCTCAGAACAGAGGAAGGAATAGTTCACTCACTTTGACCATTAAACATGGGCATGTATCTCCCAAAATAAGCATACTCAGACCTGCAGCAGTAACTTTGGAGTAAGGTAGCTTCCCAGTTCCTTTAAATACTGACTAGAAGGAAGCAGAGAAGGAAGTGTGGAGGAGAAAAGGGAGGGAGGAGAGAGGGAGGGAGGGAGGGAGGGAGGGAGAGAGAGAGAGAGAGAGAGAGAGAGAGAGAGAGAGAGAGAGAGAGAGAGA